TGCAGCGCTGTATAGTCCTTGTGGCTTAGCGCTTCTTTTTGATTATAATAATAATAATCCCTTCCAAACAATAGTAACTCTTCCATCCTCTCCTCTCCTTCCGTCTTCCACACGTCAACAACTCTTCAATGACAGCAAGTGTTGAGTTGTTGTTTTATTCTTCATGTCTCACTGTTTTATGTGTAGATAAATGTACATTTAATGTAAAAAATATATTTTTTTTAATACTTTTGGGTGTCTGGAAGATTAATTTGATTTACATTATTTCTTATGGGGAAAAATGATTTTGAAAATTTTGAATTTTGGCGGACTCTGTGGAATGGATTAAACATGAAATTCAAGGGTCCACCGTACAGGTGTTTTTGTTGTTGTATTCCTAATATTAAACATGAGCAGAAAAGAGATCTAACAATTTATTTATTTTTATTTTATTTTTTTTTTAAATTTCTCTGTATACATTCATAAACTACAAGGAGGGTTAGCCATCCAATTTTTTTCTTAATTTTTCCAATTCAGAACTATACATAAAAATTACAGTAATCACCATTAAGTGCTTTAAGGTTGCCTTCTCAATCCTGGAAGATAATAATCAAATTAAGTGGTAAACCCAAAAGGGGTCATACAGTTTTCAGTCTAGGAAGAAATCCATGTGAAGTTAAACTTGTATAATTTTAGGATACACTGTATTCGTATTTTCACGTCATTTATGCATTTTCATTCAGTATGCAATTCTAAATACAGTCTGTAACTGTATTATAATTATATCCTTGGAGGCAAAAACAGTACAGTAATTGGAATTATCATGGAAGTGAGTCGAAGCTACAGAGAATTTGAACAACTCAATTATTTCTATTTCATAAATCAGTCGCTGAGAACATTTAAAATCAGGTTTAGTCAGTTACCATTACTGAATTGTTTTATTTATATTCGCATGATCTTCATGTCAAGGGCGAGTTATTTCAAAGTTTGTTTTACAGTTTGCTTAAATATTCATGTGAATTAATCATAGAAGTGCCTCATTTAACCTGATTTATTTGATTAACAAGTTAAAAACTATAGTAAAAATAGAATGACTAATGCTTCTTGCTTCTAGTCAAACTTGTTAACTTCCATATAAAAGTTACGGCCGGTTCGTTGGAAAAAAAAAAAGTAATACAAAAAATTTTGTCAACTCATTTTAGATTAATAGTTTGAAACATAATACAAATAACTGTTAAATACATACATACATTATGTACAATATATTTTGTTAAGTATTTTAAATTGAATTTGCCATCTTTTCATAAGACCTCCAGCACTCCTGCGTATAGTTAGATCACGCTGACAGTTGTGTGTCTTTTGATTCATTTTTCCTTATATCTAAAATCACATAGACTTCATTCCTGTGACCTCTTCTTCAGTGTTCTCTGGCTGCCTTCCTTCTGGAAAGTCCCACCTTTAATGCTGTTTTTTATAACTTCTTAATAGAAACTGACTCATTGCACCATGACTTATGGCTCTGGCATTTTGGCTCACTCTCCACACTTCTGCCTCCTAATGCTAGTGCCAGTTTGCCATGCATTGCTGAATAACCCACATGGGTTTAGCAATTTTTTTTGCAACTCATTATTCTTGCATTAACTGGAAGGGGAGTGCTAGACCCTTAGGGATCATACAGCACCTGGAGGAATGGTACACAGGTTCAGTCCAAGGGAAATAACAGGTTCAATTCCTTGGATCAAGAGCTGTCATGATAGGTTTAATTCCTTGGATCCAGAATCCGTCACTGGCATTGGTACACTGCAGTACCTGCACTGAGAAATAGTGCCACTGATGACACTATTCAGATTGCTTGCTGGCTCATTTTGAGTATTGTTCAGGGAAGTGGAGATTAAGGTGTGCGAGGCAATGTAAAATCTGTGGTCTCAGATTATTCAACATCTTACCAGAAGATATAAGAAACTGCTGGGACAAGAGTGGAAGTCTTCAAGAGTGAACATTAAAATGGTATAAAATACCGACAAGTTGTTAGGTAAGACACATATGCAACAGTTAGGTATCTTTATTTCGAAACGTTTCGCCTACACAGTAGGCTTCTTCAGTCGAGTACAGAAGAGTTGATAGAAGCAGAAGAGACTTGAAGACGATGTAATCAGTCCATCACCCTTAAAGTTTTGAGGTGGTCAGTCCCTCAGTCTGGAGAAGAGCATCGTTCCATAGTCTGAAACAATATGGAGTTGAAGTGACAGGATGGAGCCTTATATAGCGCCAGGAGGTGAGACGTAGGACTCTAGTAGAAGTAAGAACGCAGATGTTGGGAGGTCAGGTCCCTCTTAAATCCAGCCGTTCTCACTAGTAGAGGTTGTCGAAGTTGATTGCAGGTCTGTACCAAGATACCCTTGTGTTGCAGTGTCTGACAGATTGAACATTAAAATGGTATAAAATTACTGACAAGTTGTTAGGTAAGACACATATGCAAAAGATACCTAACTGTTGCATGTGTGTCTTACCTAACAACTTGTCGGTATTTTATTACCATTTTAATGTTCAATCTGTCAGACACTGCAACACAAGGCTATCTTGGTACAGACCTGCAATCAGCTTTGACAACCTCTACTAGTGAGAACAGCTGGATTTAAGAGGGACCTGACCTCCCAACATCTGCGTTCTTACTTCTACTAGTGTCCTACGTCTCACCTCCTGGCGCTATATAAGGCTCCTCCTGTCACTTCAACTCCATATTGTTTCAAACTTTGGAACAATGCTTTTCTCCAGACTGAGGGACTGACCACCTCAAAACTTTAAGGGTGATGGACTGATTACATCGTCTTCAAGTCTCTTTTGCTTCTATCAACTCTTCTGTACTCGACTGAAGAAGCCTACTGTGCAGGCGAAACGTTTCGAAATAAAGATACCTAACTGTTGCATATGTGTCTTCAAGAGTAAACTGAACAAGTATCTCCAAGTGACAGATCAACCAGTCTGTGATGGATATATGAGCCAGCAGCAACAGACTAGTTGACCTGGTCCTGGTTCAGGCTCCAGTAGAAAAATTATTGAAACTCAATGGTAAAGGTACCATACATGTTATCTGCTAGAAATAAAAGCATTTAATTTTTTTTTTTATACAGCTTGAGGCTTAGGGTATGTAGGAGAGAGGGGAGAAATATTTTCCCCAGTAAAAGTCAGACTGAGAGAGATGTGTGAAAAACATGATTTAATATATTTATAGATAGGGTGTAAAAGTGAATGCTAGTTTGGTGGGAGGTGGTGTGGGGTTAAAAGATATTGGATCAGTTACTCTTTGCTGATAACCACTCTTTTGGGGTTCTGAAGATAAGTTAAAAATTTTGCTGGTGAATTTGGGAGGGTACGTAGAGGAAGTTAAAAGAGAACACAGAAAGAGCAAGATGGTGAGGATAAGAAAAAGTCTAGGCAATTAAATTTATAAACTGAATGACAGATTAGAGAGAGTATTGAGGAAGTGGATGTATTCAGATATTTGAGCATGAACATGTCAGTAGATGGGGTTTGTGAAGCTTGTAAACCATAAAATAGACGAGAGTAGGAAAAAGGTGGGGGGGAATGAAGCATCTGTGGAATCTAAGGAGGCAAAAAAAAAAAAAAAAAAAAAATTGGAATTTAGCAAAGTTCAGCAGTTTGGAGGGATATGTTGTGTATCTTTATATGTGTATGCTTCTAAACTGTTTTTGCAGAGGTGCTAAGAATACAACAGTGATAATGTGTGGTGTGGTGAAAGTTTATGAATGATGATGAAAGTATTTTCTTTCTGGGGATTTTCTTTCTTTTTTGGGTCACCCTGCCTCGGGGGAGACGGCCCGACTTGTTGAAAAAAAAAAAAAAAATGGTACCATTTTTATGTTGCAGCAAGAAAGCTAAAGGCAGTGGACATGTCATGTTGAAGCCCTTGTGACTTAGCACTTTTTTTTTGATTATAATAATAATAATAATAATGTCATGTTGAAGAGTGATGTGTGGTGTGAATATCATGTAGAGAATTTGCAGCAAAGAAATTTAAAGGCTATGTGGGGTCATCCAAGGTTATAATTCAAGTGTTAAGGTTGTTTGGGAATACAGAAAAAATGGAGAGGGATAGCATGACAGCACGTGTATATCTGGGATGGAAGGCAGGAGAAGGTAGTCATCATCCCAGGAATTACTGTAAGGGAAGGGGTAAAGGAGGTTTTGAGATTTAGGGGCTTATGAGTGTGTTAGAGTGAATGAAGACAAGTGATTATTAATGGATGTGCTGTTAGAGTATGAGCAAGGTAACATTTATGAATTTATTCTGGGAAACCGGTTAACTGGACTCGAGTCATGGAGGTGTGAAGGGCAGTACCTGCACTCTGAAGGAGGGGTAGGGATGTTGCAGTGGAAGAATAATCTAAATTGTGATATCAGCATACTTCTGGCAATACAGAGGTTGAATGAATAATGGTGAGTGTGTTTCCTTTATGTCACTTTGTTTTGGTAGAATGTGGCTGTTGAGGTTAAAAAAAAAAAAAAACTTAAGTTTACAATAACTTTTTATAAGCTTAAGTTTTTTGTATACTTGTATCATTAAAATGGTAAAAAATAACAGTGCACTCTTAGGACTTTTTGTTTAAGTACAGTGGAACCTCGGCACTTGAACTTGATTGGTTCCGGGAGGCTGTTTGAGTGCCGATCTGTTCGAGTACAGAATGAATTTTTCCCATCCAATATTTTTTTTGGTTGGCTGCTATTACTAACCCTCTTAGGCCCCATGATGACTTATTTATACAAATATAAAAGAAAACACGAAATAGTCTACAGCCGTTCTGGCAGATCGTGTTTGGTCAAGTGCCAAGCAAACGGTTGACTGCTGAGGGATTTGTTCACCAAACAAAGCGTTTGAGTACGGAGCTGTTCAAGTACCGAGGTTCCACTGTACAAAAAAGAGTTTTGTAGAGATTTTTCTACCCAATTTAGGGAGTTTCTCAAAGCTGAAATATACCTTCAGGATGTATTGTATAATCCACTTTGGAAACTAAGTTTAATTCTATATCTGTTACAAAGACATGTCACAATCATGTGTCAACAAAATATATAAAATAAAATAAAATATTGGTGATAATTTAACAAGTTCATTATATCTACAATTTAAATAATTAACATTAATTGGAATACTTTGCAGTATTATAAAGTTTAATAAAATTTAATTTGAATATACAATATAATACATACTACACACCTGGAATTATTATAGATTTCTAACAATATGCCTGCTCATATTTATTTTTGCCACTTGTTCAACAGCTTTGGGCACCACCACTAATTCTTCCAGCCCTTTGCTTTTCATTTTTAATCTATTAAACAAGGCTTCTGAATACTAACATTCAAAACATTAAATGTCACATTTAAATAAATACAGTAGACCTTTGATTTAACCAACTTTGAGAATATGGGGCAAAATCTGCTGGGTCGATCGATTTGCTACAATTACGGCTAAACACACTGTCTATATTCACCAGTGGTTATTACTAGCCTCTCTCGCCCCCTCTCTTCCTATTAGTCTGTTAAATCAAGAGTTTACTATATTACACTGGTATTGCACATTGTTTTAACATTGACTATTACAGAGTATTGGCCTATACATTATCATTCTGACCCAGTTAATAGAACAATAATTCCCGTATATCAACTTGACACAAAATTCATTCTGAACCAGTACTGTGCTATGATGTCTTATCTCCAAAAAGGGATTGCCCTGATAATGGTGTAGGGCTCTTGATCTATGGAATTAGAGCTATCTTTCCTTGGATCAAACCTGATTACTTCCCATTTCCAAAGAGCTGTATGACCCTTATGGATATAACCTTTTCTCATGATTAAAAAAAAATGCATTTTCTTACACTGCTATAGTCATGAGTTGTTTGCAGTGACAGTACTATACCTATTAATTACTATCTCTTATATTAAAATCAGTACCTTAGCTGGTTTAGCTGTTTTAAATGTAATAACACCAACTGTACCTACTTTTGTTAGGCCACTGCTACACTCATCCATCATGGGAGGACAAGTCCACAAAAAATTAAATTCTTTCAAAAATAAAGTCCTTGCTATGTAAAAATACATTACATAGTTTTCAGATAATTCGCATGTAAAATAACCGAACAAATACACTAAAATATGGCAAGCCTGACTTTTATATAGATGCTTAAATCCCATGCACAAAGGTTTGTATACAAACTATTTCGCAATACATAATTCTCTCAAACATGACTAATCCTCTTATAATGAAATTGTCATTGATATGCAAAAACTTCCTACATAAAGTAGGTTACTTCTACCTGTAAAAATTTTAAACAATGCCTAAGATAAAAATATACAAGATACTTTCTGAAATCTTCGTTTATCAGCAGTGATACTAATGTAATATGAAAATCTTTTAGTAAAAATCATGACCTTAGTGCAGTATTTCTTTATATGCAAAGATCAGCACAAAGATCAGGTATAGCATTATGATGCTGAGTAAATGTCTCCATAAGGCCTTAACGAATATGGGAGAGCAACATGGTCTGTATCAATCAGCATACACAATGAAGTTTATCTGCTGAATACTGCACTTGTTTTATCTCTCTAATCTCTACAGTACATTTGCAAGCACCAGCACCCAGAATAGGTGTAATGTGCATTACAATCTATAATAGAATTATACTATATAATGGAATTCATTGAAAAAATGTGCAATTATAACAAACATTTGCCACTTGGAAGACACATACATATTACATATAAATGTATGTGATCAATCAGCCCGTGTATCTTGCTGCTGAAAGCAGCAAGTGGCTTACACCAGATCTCGCCAACTTGTGATGTACTACTGGTCTGCTCATTCTGCTGCTTCCTCACTAGTGGTTATCAATGTAAGAATCAAACAAAATACCCTGCATATTAAGTAAAAAAAAAATTTAATTTGACTCCCTATTCTGTACTTGCATTTAAATGATACCTCTCAGAAAATAATGCATGTATATATACTGTATTTGGTTTATATTGAATAAACGTACTTTGAATACTGGGATTTGCATCATATACAAGTTAGTGTAGTCAAACGGTTGAATTATCTGATATTTTCTGAAACTTACAAATTTTCACAATTCTTGGTCCACAGTGATTGCCTGACTCCCTTGAAATGTATGCAGTCCATAAAGCAGCATATACATTAAATTTTTAATCTTACCAAGAACACTACTAGACTTTTAGCTTTTCTTTATGGACACTAAATTCTATATATACTGTATTTATACAGTACATCAACATGCATCAAGTACTGTTATACAAACACTGCCATCTATACAGAAATGCAGTACTGTACCTCTTAAAATCCTTTTAATTAAAAAAATTCTCATTTTACATAATTCAAATTGCACTATGCCATTACTTTCAAGGAAGGTGCACTTGATCTGGGGGAGCTGTATAGCCCTTGTGGCTTAGCGCTTCTTTTTGATTATAATAATAATGATCTGGGGGAATGGAGGTTACCCATCACTTTCTTGGATCAAGCCTGGTTGCTTCCTATTCTCCTCCCAGTGCTTTATGGCCCTACCCCTCAAGGAAGGTTCCTTGATAATGTTGAAGGGCTCTTGATCCAAAGGAATTGTACTTGTCCTCCTCTTACCTGAATGAAATCTGATTGCCTACTAATGGCCAGGTGCTGTATGACCCCCTTCAAGTTTAGCACTCCTCCCCCTAATATAGTAATAATAATGTTTAACCCCTTACTGTTTAGTGCTATCCCATTTACAATACCATGCCACTCAACCCTTGATAATGATAATTAACCAGAGCCACAATTTTAGAAAGTTGCTGCATAACCCTTGTCAGTTTACCACTTTAGGCGATTGTAATAATGATTAAAAAAACAAAAATAGCATATTTTTGTGAATAATAGTAATACAAGTTCTGCACAGGTACCAAGCTAACTATGATACTGATAATACTGTTTTACTATATAACTCAAATATTTAAAAAAAAAAAATGAAATGTACAAAACAAGTAAATATCTGCCTCTTCATTATCTTAAAAATCATGTTACAAACCTTTACTCTTTTGAAAGAAATAGTGCCAATATTTTTATTAAGACAACTTGAATTCACAATGAAAAGTACTGGTATTAGACATCTATTCCTTTGCAAAGCCTTTAAGTCTATTAACCCCTACGAGTTTAAGTTTAATGCTTCTCCATAATTAACTACTATATAGCCCATATTTACCTTTATATATTATATATTAATACTTTAATTCATTTTGTTACAAACATACACACACTTCACTTTGTAATAGAAATTACACCAAAGTACTATTTCCCTTGTGTATATTTACTCCTATCAGTACCTTACATGCAGTCAACATGTAAAGCAGATATCTGCTATATTAATTTGTAAATTAACTGCACAAGTACACGCAGCTCAAACACCACCCATACTGTACCAAACAAACATGAGAGGTACATGTACACATCTATTCTTTGGTGCTTTTCTTTTAAACTATTTAAGAAAAAATGCCCTTTGTACTCAATGGTTTCCAGTATTCCAATAAATTATCTGAGTCTGAGCATAACTAAAGAGTACTTATGCCTTGTTACTGCATTGTAGCTCAGTCTTACACTGGCTTTTCCATGGTGCAGATACAAATATTTTGGGCATACAGTGTTTACAGTTTTATTTTAAAAAATCTGCAATTCTCCATTTATATTTTATTTGCTGTATCTTCATCTGGAAGGAGAAAAAATAGATTATTAGACTGTCTCTGTACTGAATAAAATTATTAAATATTGTATCTTAAAGTGAATTAAACTCATCAGGGTTTAGTAGGTAATCTTTTACATAAATGTATTAAAAAAAAAAACTGACAGTTCAACTTACCAAATGATGTAACTTTAAGGAGAGGCTTGGCACCAAATGAGTCATTGGGTCTAATACATACATCTGCAGGTGGAGCCCACTCAGGCAGAGGGTGAATCAACCTCTTTACCCGCTGCAAGAATAAAAATTGCCCATGAACTTTATGAAGGTCAGTAACTATTAGTTAAAACACACATGAAATAAGTGAAAGTAAACAGTAGGGCCCCAGCATACAACATCAATGCTTCCATGAAAATTGTTCGTAAGGCAGGTGTTTAGAAATCAAGGCTTATTTTCCCAATGATGCCCATGTTATAATCAGTAATTTGTTCCTAAGCCATAATACTCCGTAATTTATTTTTTTAACTAAGAACATTACCCTTTTCACTTAAAAAGAGTACAGTACTAAATGTTGTTTAATTAATAAATGCATACATGTTAATTCAAGAGAAGAGAACTACAATACATTACTGCAGTACAGATGTGTAGGGTGAGGCAGCAGTGAGAGTCTCTCATTCTATCTCCTATTCACTCATACTCTCCCACATTGTATTTAACAATATTCTTGACATGTGCTCACCACTTCCTCACTGGTGTGAATAAGTGTGTATTGAGAGAGGAATGGGGTGTCATGTGTAGAGGTAGGCAGCAGCTGGAATCCCTCTCACTTTCCTATTCACTCCAACCCTCTCTAGTATCATGTCTAACAGAAGACTTTTTGGAGAGCTTCATTTAACACATTATGATGAGGATATTATAAGAACATAAGAAAGAAGGAACACTGCAGAAGGCCTACTGGCCCATGCATGGCAGGTCCATGTCAACCCCTGGCTTACACCAATGGCCCACCCAGTCAGGTCACCTACACTTAAGGAAGGAGCACAGCATCTGACCCAGTAGCACCAGCTAGTCAGGTCCAACACACCCACTCATGTATTTATCTAACCCATTTTTAAAACCACACGTCTTAGATTCTATAATGGTACACGGGAGTTTGTTCCAATCATCCACAACTCTATTACCAAACCGGTGCTTTCCTATATCCTTCCTGTAACTGAATTTTTCCAACTTAAAACCATTGTTGAGTCCTCTCTAGGCTAGATATTTTTAGCATGCTATTCACATCCCCTTTATTCATTCCTGTTTTCCATTTATACACCTCCATCATATCACCCCTAATTCTACACCTTTCTAGAGTGCAGATTCAAGGCCCTCAGCCTATCCTCATAGGGTGGTGTGATAGCTGACTCCCCAAATTGCAACATCCCTACCCCTCCAGAGTATAGGAACCGTACTACCCACTTCCAGGACTTGCAGGATTCACTTCCTATGTCTACACCACTCCCACACTAAGTGACCTCCTCGCTGAAAGTTCCACCTTTAACTCTGACTCACACATCCCTCCCTGCAGTGCTGTGCTGTATAACTGTTACAGATTTAGTACTTGACTTTATTACTATTATTTTTCCTAAATCTTTTTTTATACAGTGCACATAAATCATCATTCCCTGTAAATTGTTATCAAGAGCATTACTTACTGAAATAATGGTCTTACCTTGATGAAGGAGCCTTTCTCCTGCAGGATCTTATAAACTGCCACAACTGGTATGAGTAATACTGATGAGAAACATAGAACCCAGCCAACAGCATTAGCCCAAAGTGGAAATTCGTAATCTCCATATCTTGCCGGGACAAAGTCAATCCAAGAGAAGATTAAAATTGTCTGAAAATTTAAGTTTGTTTAGTTACAACATATAATGACTGTGTTATAGCAAACATGTAAAAGTACTATAGAGTATTGTCCTTTTAAAGGGAATGCCTTGAAGTCAATGACAGGCTCTTGATTCAAGAAACTGGAGCTCTCTCTCCCCTTCCTGGGATCTAATCTGATTAGTCCCCATTCCCCAAATGCTGTATGACCCTTCCAGATGCAGTGCTTTCTTGTGAATACGATATACTATAGTAAGGGGATCTGTATATCAGTGCTTTTGTTTGTTAATTAAATTTATTGTATTTTTTTTTTAATGTTTGCCAGGCAAGATTGTTTTTAAAAAAATACACAGTACAAATTCCATAAGAATTTTCCTTCTGCAAGTCACACTAATCCATGCCAAAAAGGACACAGGTAAGTACTGGTTTTCTAACAGAGTTGTAGATGCGTGAAACAGTCTTCCCAGTAGAGTGATAGAGGCTAGGACCTTGGGTAGCTTTAAGAAGAGATTGGACAAATATATGAGTAGGAGGGGCTGGGTTTGATTGGTGTCATTGGGTACGGGAGTTATTTTTTGGGTAGATTTAGGTAGAGGTCGTTTTGATAAGGACTGCCTCACATGGGCCAGTAGGCCTTCTGCAGTGTTCCTCCATTCTTATGTTCTTAAATAATGTAGAACTTAGCCATACAGATTGTGAAAAGCACTTGGGGGTTGTGGTGAGCAACAGCCTTAAACCAAGACAGCAATGCCTAAGCGTACGTAATAAGGCAAATGGATTATTGGGATTTATATCAAGAAGTGTAAGCAACAGAAGTCCAGAGGTTATACTGCAGCTTTATACATCATTAGTAAGGCCTCACCTAGATTATGCAGCTCAGTTCTGGTCTCCATATTACAGAATGGACATAAATTCGTTAGAAAACATTCAGCGTAGAATGACTAAATTAATACATGCATTAGAAATCTTCCTTATGAAGAAAACATTGAAGACTCTTAAATTACATTCACTGTTAGAGAAGAATGAGGGGAGGGCATGATCGAGGTGTATAAGTGGAAGATGGGTATTAATAAAGGGATATAAATAAAGTCCCGAGGACATCTTCCAAGAAAAGAATCCGCAGTAAAGGTTAAATTAAAATAAGTTTGATTTAGAAAGTACTAGGAAAGTATTGGTTTGGAAATAGGGTAGTAGATGAGTGGAACAGTCTACCTAGTTGGGTTATTGAGGCTGGGACTTTGGGTAGTTTCAAATTTAGGTTGGATAAATACATGAGTGGGAGGGGTTGGATTTGAGTGGGACTTGCACATCAGAGCTTATTTCTTGGGTAGCATTGAAAATTGAGTTGGTCAAATGTTTGTTAGTGGGATGAATTGTAAAGGACCTGCCTAGTATGGGCCAACAGGCCTGCTGCAGTGTTCCTCCTTTCTTATGTTATTATGTTAACATTAACACCCCTCCTTCATAGTGCAGGCACTGTACTTCCCATCTCCAGGACTCAAGTCCGGCCTGCCAGTTTCCCTGAATCCCTTCATAAATGTTACTTTGCTCACACTCCAACAGCACGCCAAGTATTAAAAACCATTTGTCTCCATTCGCTCCTATCAAACACGCTCACGCATGCCTGCTGGAAGTCCAAGCCCCTCGCACACAAAACCTCCTTTGCCCCCTCCCTCCAACCTTTCCTAGGCTGACCCCTACCCCGCCTTCCTTCCACTACAGACTGATACACTCTTGAAGTCATTCTGTTTCGCTCCATTCTCTCTACATGTCCGAACCACCTCAACAACCCTTCCTCAGCCCTCTGGACAACAGTTTTGGTAATCCCGCACCTCCTAACTTCCAAACTACGAATTCTCTGCATTATATTCACATCACACACTGCCCTCAGACATGACATCTCCACTGCCTCCATTCATCACCCATGCTTCACACCCATATAAGAGCGTTGGTAAAACTATACTCTCATACATTCCCCTCTTTACCTCCAAGGACAAAGTTCTTTGTCTCCACAGACTTCTAAGTGCACCACTCACCCTTTTCCCCTCATCAATTCTATGATTCACCTCATCTTTCATAGACCCATCCGCTGACACGTCCACTCCCAAATATCTGAATACATTCACCTCCTGTTGTTAGGTAAGACACATATGCAACAGTTAGGTATCTTTATTTCGAAACGTTTCGCCTACACAGTAGGCTTCTTCAGTCGAGTACAGAAAAGTTGATAGAAGCCGAAGATACTTGAAGACGATGTAATCAGTCCATCACCCTTAAAGTTTTGAGGTGCTCAGTCCCTCAGTCTGGAGAAGAGCATTGTTCCATGGAATGAAACAATATGGAGATGAAATGACAGGATGGAGCACTTAAATAGCGCCAAGAGGTGAGACGTAGGTCACTAGAAGAGGTAAGAACTCAGATGCTGGGAGGTCAGGTCCCTCTCAAATCCAGCCGTTCTCACTAGTAGAGGTTGTCGAAGTTGATTGTAGGTCTGTACCAAGATACCCTTGTGTCTTACCTAACAACCTGTCGGTATTTTATACCATTTTAATGTTCAATCTGTCACACATTCACCTCCTCCATACTCTCCCTCCAATCTGATATCCAATCTTTCATCACCTAATCTTTTTGTTATCCTCATAACCTTACTCTTTCCTGTATTCACTTTTAATTTTCTTCTTTTGCACACACTACCAATTTCATCCACCAATCTCTGCAACTTCTCTTCAGAATCTCCCAAGAGCACAGTGTCATCAGCAAAGAGCAACTGTGACAACTCCCACTTTATGTGTGATTCTTTATCTTTTAACTCCACACCTCTTGCCAAGACTTAATATATTTCTACACCTTGTTCCTTCATTTTTACCTATATTCAAAGGAAGTGTCTAATGCCATTGAAAGGCTCTTGATGCAAGGAGTTGAAGCTTATCTCCCCTTCCTTGGATCAATATACATACCATTCCCCAGATATTTTATAACAACTGACTGGGTACAAGAGGGAATAAGAAGTGCTATAACTGGATATTAAAAATATATGACAGATTAAATACTGAAGATGGGATACCACAAGCATGGCTCTATTCCTCTAGTTATAACTACACACACACATGCACATGCACACACACACACACACATGGACCTAACGACATTGGAGGACAGAAGAACCAAGAGGACATGATAACATGTGTACAAAATACTTGGGGGGAATTGATAGAGTGGACAGGACAAGCTGTAAAGAGGCAAGAAATGGGAATTGGGGGACACCAATAGAAGTTAAAGGCATAGATGAGCCACAAGGATGTTAGGAAGTATTTCTTCAGTCTCAGAGTGGTCAGGAAGTGGAATGATGATCTTACTGTGGAAGTGGTGGAGGCAGGCTCTATAAATAATTTTAGGCTCATAAGGCTAAGAGGGAGTGAATCTGAAGACTGGTAAGTTAAGAGGCAGGGCCTGGATCAGAGAATAGACACCCGCAACCTCAAACAGGTATGTACACACACGCACACATATGCAAGGGACTAGTAACCCCTTCAGGAGAAGGGGTTACTAGTCCCTTGCTCCTGTCATTTTAGTTGCCTCTTATGACACGTATGGCTTACAGAGGAAGAATTCTGTTCCACTTCCCCATGGAGAGCATATGCACATGTACATACACAAAATCCATGAAACACCTTTTACATTTTTTTGCTATCTGCATCATACACTCCAGCAAAATATCCTTCTCTATATAATAAAAAGATTTCCCTATGCCTTTGATTTAAGGTCTACTCTAATATTATAATATTACTGTACTCTGATAAGTCTTATTTTTTAAAATTATACTTGCAGTGTATGGCCAATGTGTGTTTAGCTTATGTTTAATAATAATAATGCCAGTGAGCTCCTGATCCAAAGAATTGGACCAGATCTCCCTTTTCTTAGATTGAATCTGACTGACTCCGAAGTACTGCACGACCCCTGTGGGTGATGAATGCAAGAATAATAACTGATACTGTATACACTTACCAATACCACTAAAGGCATGCCAAATTTCCATATGGCCTTCCAAAAAATCTTTGGGTATGGGTAATATCCTAACATCTTCTTGATATCATCCAGGAAGTTGTCAACACCATACAACCAAGTCACAACTGTCACCTGTTCGAAAAAAATAATTGCAAAATAAGAAGTTGTGGAATTTTTACTCATTCCTCAATTGTCATATTTATACAACTTATTAAGATATATAAAACACATTTTATAGCCACATACTGATAATCACCGGTATTTCTTTCTTTGTGAACACCGAGCTAAAAATGACGAGTAAAAGGTGAAGTCTTTCTACTGCTATCACATAGGCAGTCTATAATAAAAACTGACAAGTGGAAATAAAGACAACAGTAACAGAATCCTTTCCAATAAGTGACCTGCATTTCAACGAGCCTAACCTCGAGGTGCTCAATTGTCTTATAAGGCAGTGTATTTGCTCATTCCTATATGTAGGTATTTGATCAAGCCCAGCCTGTGGCAAAACTTTACATTAAGAGGATTCTCCAGCATTAGTATATTTCCACTGCTATGAAGGTGAACCCTGATACTGTGGCAGCAGTAATGACTCCAAAGAATTCCTGGGACACACATTTCTTTACAAATGAATTTCACAATACATGTACATATATGTGGACTCTGTCTCATAAACACGCTAAGATAACAGGGATATCTTGCTACTCCTACTTACACTTTGGTCACACTTCACAGACACGCACATGGATATATATATATACATACATCTAGGTTTTCCTCCTTTTTCTAAATAGCTCTTGTTCTTTTTTATTTCTTCTATTGTCCATGGGGAAGTGGAAAAGAATCTTTCCTCCGTAAGCCATGCTGTTCGTATGAGGCGACTAAAAAAGCCGGGAGCAATGGGCTAGTAACCCCTTCTCCTGTATAGAAATTACTTAAAAAAAGAAAGAAGAAAAACTTTATAAAACTGGGTAGCTTAAATTGTGCGTGGAATGATGCGATACAAGAAACATATGATTGCTGGAGTTATGAATGAAACGAAGTTGGATGTCCTGGCCTAAGGCGAAAACAAAGCTGAAGGGGTAGGAGAGTTTCAGTGGGGGGAAATATAATGGGATTAAACCTGGAGTAATCTGAGAGGAGTTAGAGCAAAGGAGGGGGTAGCAGTAATGGTATATAATCAGTTATGGAAGGAGAACAGAGAATAGAATGTGTAAATTCAAGAATTATGTGGATTAAAGTTAAAGGTTGGTATGAGAGAAGAAGTGGGTCAATAATACGCGTGTATAGCACCTGGAGAAGAGAGGAATGCAGAGGAGAGAAGAGAGATTTTTTGGGAAGTGATGTTAAGTGAATGTAAGGAGCCTTTTAACCAGTGAGAGAGTAATTGTGGTAAGGGGACTTGAATGCCTAAAGTAGGAGAAACTTTTAAGAGAGGGTGTGGTAGGTAAGTTTGGGGTGCCTAGGTGTAAAAAGATAATGGGAGCCCTTTGATTGAACTTTGTATAGAAAGGGTTTAGTTATTGGTAATACATATTTTAAGAACAAGAAGGATAAATAAGTAATACACGATATGATGTAGCGAAAGACAGTAGTTTGTTGGATTATTATTGGTAGATTAAAAGGACTGTTGATAGACTTCAGGGATGACATGTTTTATAGAGGGGCCACAGATATATCATATCACTTTCCTAGGTTGTAGCTACACTGAGAGTAAAAGGTAGATGGGATACAAGGATAATAAAGCAATCAAGGGAAGAGAGAGTGAAAGGTTTATAAACTAAAAGAGGAGGCCAGTATAGGGTAAGATATAAACAGCTATGGAGGATAATGGCTAATGAGAGCATAGGCAATGGGGTCCGAGAGGATGGGGTAGGTTTTAAAAATGTTGTGTTAGAGTGTTCAAGCAGAAGTTTGTGGGTTACAGGAAAGTGGGTGCAGGAGGAAGAGGAGCGAGTGGTGGGAATGAGATGTAAAGAGAGTAGTAAAGGGAGAAAAAGTTAGCATATGAGAATTTTTTTACAAGTAAAGTGATGCAAGGAGGGAGGAGTTATGGGAAGAAAAAAGAGAAGTTAAGAGAGTGGTGAAGCAATGTAAAAAAGAGAGCAAATGAAGAGTGGGGTGAGATGTTATCAACAAATTTGTTTGAAAATAAGAAAAAGTTTGGAGGGAGATTAACAATTAAGAAAGCCTAGAGAACAAATGGATTTGTCATGTTAAAAATAGGAGAGGAGAGTATTAAATGGAGAGTTAAGGTATTGGGAAGATGGGGGAAATATTTTTGAGGAATTGGTTTAAATGTTGATGAAGATAGGGAAGCTGTGATTTCGTGTAAAAAAAAAGAGGGCAAGGAGGAATAACATCTTGTAGAGTGAGGAAGAGCCAGTTGATGAGTGTGGGGGAAGTTCTGAGGCGTAGGTAAAATAAAGTGGGCAAGGCAGCTGGGATTGATGGGATACAGATAGAAATGTTAAAAAGCAGGTGGGGATATAGTTTGGAGTGGTTGGTGCAATTATTTAATAAATGTATGGGAAGAGGGTAAGGAGTACCTAGGATTGGCAGAGAGCGTGCATAGTTCCTTTGTATAGAAGGGCAAAAGGGAGGATTAAAAAGAGAGTGCAAAATTATAGGGGGAAATAAGTCTGTTGATTGTACCTGGTAAAGTGTATGGTAGAGTTATAATTGAAAGAATTAAGAGTAAGAGCGGAGAAATAGATAGCAGATGAAGCAGAGGCTTTAGGAAAGGTATGGGGTTGTTGGACCAGGTTGTTTACAGTGAAACATATAAGTGAACATATTTAGATTAAGGCTAAAGATGTCTTTGTGGCATTTATGGATTGGAAAAGGCGTAGACAGGGTTGATAGGGGGGCAATGTGGCCATGTTGCAAGTGTATGGAGTAAGGAGGTAAGGTTAACTGGAAAGCAGTGAAGAGTTTTTTAAACGAGGATAGTGAGGCTCAAGTTAGAGTATGGTAGAAAGAGAGGAAATTTTTCCCATAAAGAGCCTAGACAAGGATGGTGATGTCACCGTGGTTGTTTAATAATTTTATATATGGGGTTGGAAGAGAAGTAAATGGCGAGGGTCTTGGCAAGAGGCGTGGAGTTAAAAGGATAAAGAATCAACACAAAGTGGGAAGTTGTCACAGCTTGCCTCTATTGCTGATGACACTGTGCTTCTGGGAGATTCTGAGAAAGTTGCAGAGATGTGGATGAATTTGGTAGGGTTGCAAAAGAAGAAAATTAAAGTGAATACAGGAAAGAGAGGTTATGAGGAATAACATAAAGATTAGGTGATGACAGATTGAATCATATTGGAGGGAGAGAGTATGGAGGAGGTGAACTTATTTCAGATATTGGGAGTGGACGTTCACGGATGGGTCTATGAAAGATGAGGTGAATCAATAGATTTGATGAGGGAAAAAGAGTGAGTGGTGCACTTAGGAGTCTGTGGAGACAAAAGAACTGTTGTCCTTGGAGGCAAAGAGGGGAATGTATGAGATGTATAGTTTTAACCAATGGCTCTTATATGGGTGTGATGCGTGGGTGATGAATGTTTGCAGCGATAGAAGGCTGGAAGGGCAGTGGAGATGTCGTGTCAGAGGGCAATGTGTGGTGGTGAATATAATGCAGAGAGATCGTAGATTTGAAGTTAGGAAGGAGGTGCGGATTACTACCAAAACTGTTTGTCCCAGAGGGCTGAGGAAAAGGGTTGTTGAGGTGGTTTGGGACATGTAGAGAGAATGGGGAGCGAAACAGAATGACTTCAAGAGTGTAATCAGTCTGGTAGTGGAGGAAGGCGGGTAGGGGTCGGCCTAGGAAGGGTTGGAGGTGAGGGGGTAAAGGAGGTTTTGTGTGCGAGGGGCTTGGACTTCCAGCAGGCATGCCGTGAGCGTGTTTGATAGGAGTGAAGGAGACAAATGGTTTTTAATACTTGAATCCGTGCTGTTTGGAGTGTGAGCAAAGTAACATTTATGACGGATTCATGAAACCGGCAGGCCGGACTTGAGTCCCCCCCCCCCCCCCCCCTGGAGTGGGAGTACATGCCTGCACTCTGAAGGAGGGGTGTTAATGTTTGCAGTTTAAAAACTGGTAGTGTAAAGCACCCTTCTGGCAAGACAGTGATGGAGTGAATGATGGTGAAAGTTTTTCTTTTTCGGGCCACCCTGCCTTGGTGGGAATCGGCCAGTGTGATAATAATAATAAAAAAAATATGTGGACTCTCTCATTTCTCTATATACAGTGGAACCCCGAGTTTTGGCCACCCTGAGTATCGGCCGCTTTGAGTTGCTGACTGCTTTTTTCGCTAAATTATTTTGGTCCCAAGTTTTGGCCTGTGCATACCAGACCTGTCCACCTGCCTATGCAGGCATCGTGAGCTTGTCTAGCTTTGTTTACCCTTAGAGTGAACATTACCCTGTGCACTCATCCAAACATTTTACAATAAATTCATTATGTTTAGTGCTTGTTTTTATTGCGACTGTAAAAGATAGGCCACCATGGGCCCAAAGAAACTGTCCTTGTGGTCCACCACCCCTTTGGGTAAAGAAAGTGAAAACACCATAGAAGTGAAGAAATTGTATAAAAACACGAGGCAGTGAGCTACAGTGGTTGAGGCAATAATAAGTCCTCCCTCTCTCGTCCTCCCTATCTTCCAGATACCAACTAAACTCTTCAATAAAGGTATGTAATTGTGAGTTTAAATGTTTATTTACCTATTTCATTACTCATTTAAGTACTATATGTATGTATTTATAATTGTTTTGTGTATAACTATAGTTATTCTTTAAAAAATGTATTTTTTGTGAATATTTTTGTGGGTCTAGAATGGATTAATTGGATTTACATTATTTTTTATGGAAAATATTGCTTCGACTTTAGGCCGTTTCGACTTTAGGCCTAGCTCCTGGAACGAATTATGGCTGAAACTCAGGGTTCCACTGTACCACCTCTAAAGAAGGGATGCCTTGCTATTTGATGAAAGATTTCTGATTCAAGGAATGGGAGCTACCGTCTCCTTTGATCACATCTGATAACCTCTTGTTCCCCGGACACTGTACGACCCATACAGGTTTAGCATTTCCCCACGATTATTAATATCAATTTTTTTTCTTTTTCAACAAGTCAAGTCATCTCCCACCCAGGCAGGGTGACCCAAAAAGAAAGAAAATCCCCAAAACGAAAATACTTTCATCATCATTCAACATTTTCACCCCACTCACACATAATCACTGTTTTTGCAGAGGTGCCCAGATACAACAGTTTAGAAGCATGTATAAAGATACAATATAAAAAGTGACCTGAAATAATTACAATATCAGGGCCCCAATTATATGTATAATCTTTCTTGCCTTTCCAACACACCACCATATCCCACCGAGGCAGTGGGGCCCACAAGGTTAAACTAAAGCTTCTCCTTTTTACATTTAGTAAAATATAGCATAGAAGGTGTTACTAGCCCCCTTGCTCCCGGCATTTTAGTTGCCCGTCATACTACAACGCATGGCTTACGGAGTGGAAGAATTCTGTTCCACTTCCCCATGGAATAAAGGAAATAAACAAAACCAGAACTAGAAGAAAAATAGAAGAAAACCCAGAGGGGTGTATATATATATATATATGCTTGTACATGTATTGTATGTGACCAAAGTGTAATAAGAAGTGGACAAGACGTACCTGTAATCTTGCATATTTATGAGAACAGACAAAAGACACCAGCAATCCTACCATCATGTAAAACAATTACAGGCTTTCGTTTTACACTCACTTGGCAGAATGGTAGAATTTTTTTTTTTTTTTCAACAAGTCGGCCGTCTCCCACCGAGGCAGGGTGACCCAAAAAAGAAAGAAAATCCCCAAAAAGAAAATACTTTCATCATCATTCAACACTTTCACCACACTCACACATTATCACTGTTTTTGCAGAGGTGCTCAGAATACAACAGTTTAGAAGCATACACATATAAAGGAGTACACAACATATCCCTCCAAACTGCCAATATCCCTATCCCCCAAACCCCTCCTTTAAACCCCTTTGAGGGTCACAGGCCCTATCTCGAAACGACGTTATCAGGTGGCCAAATTAAAAAAAAAAAAAAAAATTTTTTCTCATTATGAAAAGATTGAAAAGAATCTTTTTCCCGATCATAAGGACACCAAAGGTTTGAATATGATGGAAAAACTTTACGAATTATGTTTGCTCTTCGCAAGTTAGCGGTCTCGGCCGATGTATTACGCATCGGACGATTTGCCCACTTTAGAGCCCCCATATTTTGGGCCAATTCCACTGTACTAGGCGACGAAAAATCATGAATTTTCGCTAAAAACTAAAACTCCATTTTTTCTATCGAATGGGTGCAAGAAAACCACCCATTATGAAATTCAACTATCCCAGATACAGTGGTCGAAATTTAGCAAATTTTGCCAATTTCACACAAATTTCAAAAGATGCCAATTTCCGAATAGGGTCCATAATAAACAAAAAGACATTCCTGGCACTTAAAATGACATTTCCCTCTGGTCAATAGTCACGTCCTCAAGGCCCCCCTCTTATATTTCTTTTTGCTTTCCACTTTTTGAATTTTTTATCTCACAAAAAATATAAGATTTACTGTTATGCAGACTACTGCATTAGTGTAAAAAAAATGGTATAAAATATTATTGGTGCACTTGTGAAAGAGTATTTAGACGCAACGCTTTGACGTGAATTGCAACGCTTGGCACATTTGTTACTTTTATGAAATTGGTAAAAATCGAACATTTCTGCTACTTGAGCTGCAATTTCCAAGTATCTATCATTGTAAAAACCAGTCAAAATCATCTCTTAATTGTTTCTGTAATATGTCTTCCATTCTATAAAATAGACCAAGAAAACTAGAATACAACATTTAAATACCATACGAAAATGGCAGTGCAAAGTCGCTTTTATATCCAAAAAAATGGTCAAAGTTTTTTTTTTTCTCATTATGCACTGTGTGCGCCGATTTTTTTTAGAACTGGCACACTGAAAACAGACCATTCTTTCAATATGAAGGCCTACCACTTTCTCCGCACTAGATTTGAGGGCGCAAGAATTTAGGCATACTAAGTACTTCAAAAACCCTGGGTCGTAATCCCGTACTAGTACGTCCGAAACCCTCAAAGGTTAAAGTGCAGGCATTGTACTTCCCATTCCATGACTAAAGTCAACAACTATATGAAAATAACCAGTGTCCCTGAATCCTTCACAAAATATTACCCTGCTCACCTCCAACAGCTCATCAGGTCCCGAAAACCATTTCAATCGTCCTATCTAATTACTCTCATGCACGCTTTGCGGAAGGGCCCAAGCCCCTCGCCCACAAAACCTCCTTTACACCCCCTCCCTCCAACCTTTTCTCTACTATGACCCCTTACCCCGCCTTCCTTCCCCAACAGATTTATACGCTCTCCATGTCATTCTACTTTGATCCATTCTTTCTAAATGACCAAACCGGTGGCCTGGTGGCTAAAGCTCCCGCTTCACACACGGAGGGCCCGGGTTCGATTCCCGGTGGGTGGAAACATTTCGACACGTTTCCTTACACCTGTTGTCCTGTTCACCTAGCAGGAAATAGGTACCTGGGTGTTAGTCGACTGGTGTGGGTCGCATCCTGGGGGACAAGATTAAGGACCCCAATGGAAATAAGTTAGACAGTCCTCGATGACGCACTGACTTTCTTGGGTTATCCTGGGTGGCTAACCCTTCGGGGTTAAAAATCCGAACGAAATCTTATCTTATCTTAACAACCCCTCGTCAGCCCTCTGACCAATACTTTTATTAACTCCACACCTTCTCCTAATTTCCACACTTCGAATTCTCTGCATAATATTTACACCACACAATGCCCTTAGACAGGACATCTCCACTGCCTCCAACTGCCTCCTCACTGCAGCATTTACAACCCAAGCTTCAACACCCATATAAGAGTGTTGGTACCACTATACTTTCATACATTCCCTTCTTTGCCTCCATTGATAACACGTTTTGTCTCCACATATACCTCAATGCACCACTCGCCGTTTTTCCCTCATCAATTCTATAGTTAACCTCATCCTTCATAAACCCATCCGCTGACACATCAACTCCTAAATATCTGAAAACATTCATTTCTTCCATACTCCTTCTCTCCAATGTGATATCCAATTTTTCTTTATACTCATTTGATACCCTCATCACCTTACTCTTATCTATGTTCACTTTCAACTTTCTACCTTTACACACCCTCCCAAACTCGTCCACTAACCTTTGCAACTTTTCTTTAGAATCACCCATAAGCACAGTATCATCAGCTAAAAGTAACTGTCAACTCCCATTTTGTATTTGATTCCCCACAATTTAATCCCACCCCTCTCCCCAACACCCTAGCATTTACTTTTTAAAAATCCCATCTATAAATATATTAAACAACTATGGTGACATTACACATCCCTGTCTAAGACCAACTTTTACCGGGAAGTAATCTTCCTCTCTTCTACACACCCTAACGTGAGCCTCACTATCCTCAAACTCTTTACAGCATTTAGTAACTTACTACTTATTCCATATACTTGCAACATCTGCCACATTGCTCCCCTATCCACTCTATCATATGCCTTTTCTAAATCCATAAATGCAATGAAAACTTCCCTACCTTTAAATACTGTTCACATATATGGTTCAATTTACACACTATGAACTTACACATCCCATACCCCACACTAAAGCCTTCTTGCTCAACGCAATCCTACACTCTGTCCCTTAACCTCCAATTTCATCAAAAAAACCCTTGTCGTACACTTTCCTTGTATAGCTCAATAAACCTAATTCCCCTATAAATTTTTTACAATCGGATTGGTACTTCTGTCCCCCTTCCCTTATTATAAAGGAACTATTCAATACTCACTGCCAATCCTAGTTAGCCTTCCCCTCATTCCATACATTTATTAACAAAAATACAAACCACTCCAACACTAAATCCCCCCCGCATTTAACATTTACATGTTGCCTGATCCCAATCAGTAATATTAACATTTCTGTCAATATCCCATCAGCAATTAAATAGAACAGACAAGACAAAAAAATTATTCTAGTAATTAAATTGCAATTGAATTTAATCTCAAGATTAGGAATACCTAATTACTACAACGCAACAAATGACAGACTGAGAATTTCTGTAATTGCAGGAAAAATCAGTATGGAACAGAAAGGCATTATAGTAAATTGAGAAGTATTAACAACTTCTATTTTCAAGAATCAAAATTGAAAAAAAACGACGTTGAGAGAAATTCCTGTTGGTAGAACCATCTACTCCTCAAAGGTGCCTGATGACAGGGGCACAATTATCCAAGAATTAGACCAATCCTCCCTTTTTTTATAAATCAAACCTGATTGCTTCCATCCACACCGAGGTACTGTAAGACCCTTACAGGTTTCAGCACTTTCCATCAATTTACATTCATAATAATGCAATGGTTGGAATGCTTGGCAGATTTTGGGTAAAGTATTTTAAATGAATTTTCTTGATTCACAAGATATTAACATTTAAAATTTATCTTGTGCTTTTTAGAACCCTTACCTCAGCCACCACCAACCATGGAGAGCCGAAAAGGTAGACGAGTAAGAATCCCATCCTCATGTAAGAACAACATTTCCACCCTTTGTTTGCCATATAAAGTCCCACAACCGTACAAAACTAAGCAGCAACCATCAAGGCCCATCTGCAGAACAAACCATGTCACTTCAGAACATGAGGCAGCACAAGCTGACATTAACATTAATGAAACAATTAATATAACCTTAAACAATTAACATTTTGCTTATTATAAAAAATATGCCACTTAAAATATTAAAGAATTCATTACACATAAATAAGAGTATCATATTACAAAGCCATTGCAGATGATATAGCACGTTATTACACAATTTATATTGTTCTGAGACACACTCCATCAAGAAGGTGCAGAGGATTTTTGGTATGGCAATATATTCCTAAAGAAGAAGGTCACATGAATAATATTTTTATCAAGCTGTGGCAAGTGTTTTACCAAGTTGCCCTTGAAAGTTCATATCATTTAATACAACTGTCTGCCCAGTGCATGCCGGGCATAAATGACACCATGTACCTAGTGGTAACCGACAGCCTTAGCAAGGATTCACAAACAATTTATGGAGCACAAATCGTGCCAGCATTCTGGTCACTCTGCAGTTGTTGCATAATTTGATGCATTTGCAAGGGAAAAAAAAATCACATAAAGCATTAACATCATAAAATGGCCTTTTAGCCCAGCTCACCCAGATGTACTGATACCCAGCCATGAAAGAATGTTAGTCACACCGGTTACATACCACATGTAAGTTTCATACCACAATACTGTTTGAATAATACATGGCATTGTAGGAAGAATGTAGCCTTTGAGAGTTGGTCGGTTAGACTCACTTTAATTCTTGCCGCGCAGGGCTGTGAAGTCATCAGAAATGGTTGGTGATGATGTAGTTAGGATATAAACAGTGCGTGCCAATGACACCAGAGTCAGCAACATGGCTAAGAACAAGATGACCACACCGAGCAGATGGGCAGGCGGGCCAGCGGCCTACGGGGTAATCCACGCACTGCCAGGCCCGCTCCTAGAACGTGCATAAAACGACCCACATCAGTACTGTTTTGTGGAGGAATACTACCCTACAGTGATGAAAGTGAACTCTCCCACATTGTCCAAGTGCCAACTCGCCAAGGGAAAAATGGTAAGAAACAACCGTGACTGACAAGGATGAGTGTATGCCAGAGCACCATCAACAAGATACCAGTATCTTCAAGCAGCAGGTCAAAAAACACTACAAAAACAGTAAACTACAGACTACAGATAAATACTACCAAAAGCTTACCTACAAATGATGCCTTACAACAGGGGTAGTTGCTCTCTCTCTGTACCTAATATTAAGGTATTTACATTTTAAAATAATGAAAACAATACAATACAGACAAATAAGACAGGACAACATCAAAAATATGACTAATTAGAAATTGCAATAAATTGCAAAAAATGTACACAATACTTATTTATACCTCTTAGTGTCTCTTATTGTCCTTCAGTAGTACAACACTTCTAACCCCATTTTACTTACTTGGACGTGTGCTCTTCACTTACTTATAACATCAGTAAACCAACTACCAGTTCATTCAGCTCTCTTAAATGACGTGTGGCTTTAGAAATAGGGGGGCTACTTACTACAACATGACATGATGTAGTATGACATGTCTCAGTTTTTCTGTTAAATGGGAATTATAAATTAAGGATAACATGAATCTAACAAATGTATGAATGGAACATACAAACAGTGATGAAAAGTAACTTCAGATTATTTAAATAATGTTAAATAATTAAACTTTAATCATATATATAACTTAGAAATATGACAATTTTAAAACTCAAAAGGCTAGTCAATAGAAGAAATCTTGGTCCGTGACTTACGTACCATCTATAGTATATTACGAGAAAATCTGATCTAAGAGTGCCTGCTACACATGTCGCAGAATAACATAGCAGTAATAAACCATAAAATAATGGTAAAAACTGTAGTGAATTTTGCATTAAATCTTTTTATTGCAAGCTTGAACCAACTTTATTTAAATTACATACAATAAAATTGCTTTAAATGGAGGACATTGAGCCAGAGGTTCCTATAGGCAACATTAGACTGAGTGCTAGGTTACCTAGCTTTAAGGTTCAAAATCCTTCAAGAAAATATACATATGTTGAAGGCCATATTTGAAAGTAAAAAAATAATTATTTATTAAAGCAGAAAATGCAACAACCAATCTCCACAGAAAAAAATCTCTATAAAAAGGCCCTGAATATCAGTTTTGACATTAAGAGGCCAGGTGTGTTCAATGATAGGAGTAAAATGAAAGAAGACAAGTTTCTGTGTCAGCCTCCATTTTATGACCATGGATTGAAACCTGTTAAGCCTCGCAATCCCTCTGGGATTCTAATTTACAACTTCATGACTGATAACTTTGGCAGAGCTGATTCAAGCCATTTTATACAAGATTCTTAATCCTAGTTACCTATAGGATATACTAACCCTGAAGAAGATTGAGAGTAAGATGCCACTGTGGAACGGGATACTACATACCCTGCACTGCAACTTTGTCAACCGGCACACCCAGCTCATGAGCCATAAAGCCAATTATGCCAAAGATCACAAAACCAGAAAAGAAACTGGTCAGGCAGTTGCCTATGGAAACAACGAAGGCATCCCTGGAATGACAACAAAATATTTTAAAAAACACAGCATTAAATTAATTTGCAAGCACTACACGTTATAAAAATATCTTGCATGGAAAAATGTTTTGAGATATAAAAAAAAAAGTCATTTTAGTATTCTTGTCAAGTCTGCACCCAAACTATTAAGTATGTTTAGCCTTTTAATTAACCCTTTCAGGGTCCGTCCTGTAGATCTACGGCTTTTCGGTGAATGTCCAAACCGTAGATCTACGCCAAAATTCTAGCACTGTCAAATTTAGCGCGAAAGCGCTCATAGGCCTACATGTGAGAGAATGGGTCTGCGCCGTGGGTGTGCGCCGTAAACAAAAAATCTAGGCGCCTGCATAGCATTGTGGGAACGCCGGCTCAGTCACCCTTGTTCACCATGCCTCGTCGCAAGTCAGCTCTCACTCCCCGGAAAATTGGGACTCTCCTCTTCCTGTCTGATAGTTCTGACACTGATGGAAGTGCAAATGAAGACTAATTCTACGGCTTTGATAAGTTAGTGACCGAAAATAATGACCAGGATATCGATAATAGGGCAGAAAACCCCGACGATCCTCGACCTTCTACCTCTGGTGTGGGCACTCGTGACTCACGGTCGGGTGTTCCTAAACGTAAGAGAAAACTAATATTTTCGCGTGGCCAGGCCTCTGACTTCAGTAATGACGATGATTCTGACGTGGATTGTGATTTTATTGCGCTCGACGATCATTCGAGAAGTGATAGTGAGGAATCATATTCACCAGTGAAGCGTCGGTATGTTCGCCGCCGCATGCGCTCGGGTAGTGTACCCTATGCAGTGCCCAGGGGACGGAGTACATCCCGTGGCCCTACACCCGTTTTAGGTAGTGATAGTGAGGATGATGTGGCTACAAATTTTTGGGATGGATGGGCCACAGGCATCAGTGGATGGTGTTAATGGTGCTGGTGGTGGTAGTGGCACCGCCATGCGTGACTCACCGTGCCACGCGGGGACCCACGCTGCTGACTCGTCAGTTCAAGGACAAAGCGGAGCGTCAGCCACCAGCCCGCCACAACCACAACCACCCGTACAACCAGCCTATGATGTCCAGTATCCACCACAAAACCGTATGTGGGATTGGCAGCAAAATCCCAATTTTGTTCCCAAGCCTCACCACTTTGATGACTCTCAAAGTGGAATTCTACCTACCTGTCCCCTTGGAACCACAGCCAATGAACTGGAATTCTTTGAATTATTCTTTGACCAGCCATTGATGGAAATTATTGCCAGGGAAAGTAATAAGTATTTTCAGTACACCATGGCAAATACGATCTTATCACCAGTCAAGACTACACAGGTGGAAAGAGACGACTGTTGCAGAAATGTATTTGCTTTTTGCAACAATAATGCTTATGCCTCACGTCTAAAAGCATAATATAAAAGCATACTGGTCCACAGATCAGCTAATTTCTACCCCATCCTTCAGTGAAATAATACCAGTGAACAGGTTTATCTTACTGTTACATATGTTGCACTTCTCTGACAAAACCAGGCCTGACAGAAGTGACAGGTTATACAAGATTAGAAATGTTTTCATGTATCTCAAACAAAAGTTCAGGATATACTTTTATCCATTCAAGAATCTTGTAATTGACGAGTCTTTGATTTTGTTCAAAGGTAGACTGTCATTCAAGCAGTATATACCGAGCAAGAGGAACCGCTTTGGTATAAAATTGTTTGTACTCTGTGATTGTGACAGTGGCCTGGTGTTGGATATTGTTGTATACACGGGTAGTAAAACATTGAAAGATACCAAGATGTTATTGGGTATCTCAGGTGACGTAGTGAGAAACATGATGGCACCTTATCTTGGCCGGCGTTCCCACAATGCTATGCAGGCGCCTAGATTTTTTGTTTACGGTGCACACCCACGGCGCAGACCCATTCTCTCACATGTAGGCCTATGAGCGCTTTCGCGCTAAATTTGACGGCGCTAGAATATTGGCGTAGATCTACGTTTTGGACACTCACCGAAAAGCCGTAGATCTACGGGACGGACCCTGAAAGGGTTAAAAACAAATTTTATGCAAAAATAAAAATAGCAAATAACTATGACCAGAGGTGCACTTAGGTAATGTTTCTTCACACGTACAAAGCCCTATGATTAAAAAAGTAATTAACTTGTAGTTATCCAAAATATTATCCTAGGCAGTGCAAGACCTGTACCTGGAGTTTACCTGGAGAGAGTTCCGGGGGTCAACGCCCCCACGGCCCGGTCTGTGACCAGGCCTCCTGGTGGATCAGAGCGTGATCAACCAGGCTGTTACTGCTGGCTGCACACAATCCAACGTACGAGCCACAGCCCGGCTGGTCAGGAACCGACTTTAGGTGCTTGTCCAGTGCCAGCTTGAAGACAGCCAGGGGTCTATTGGTAATCCCCCTTATGTATGCTGGGAGGCAGTTGAACAGTCTCGGGCCCCTGGCACTTATTGTATTGTCTCTTAAAGTGCTAGTGACACCCTCTGCTTTTCATTGGGGGGATGTTGCATCGTCTGCCGAGTCTTTTGCTTTCGTTGCGAGTGATTTTCGTGTGCAAGTTCAGTACTAGTCCCTCTAGGATTTTCCAGGTGTATATAATCATTTATCTCTCCCCCCTGTATTCCAGGGAGTACAGGTTCAGAAGCTTCAAGCGCTCCCAGTAACTGAGGTGTTTTATCTCCGTTATGCGCGCCGTGAAGATTCTCTGTACATTTTCTAGGTCAGCAATTTCACCTACCTTGAAAGGTGCTGTTAGTGTGCAGCAATAGTCCAGCCTAGGTAGAACAAGCGACCTGAAGAGTGTCATCATGGGCTTGTCATCCCTAGTTTTGAAGGTTTTCATTATCCATCCTGTCATTTTTCTAGCAGATGCGATTGATACAATGTTATGGTCCTTGAAGGTGAGAGCCTCCGACATGATCACTCCCAGGTCTTTGACGTTGGTTGGCTTTTTGCTCTATTTTGTGGCCGGAATTTGTTTTGTACTCTGAAGAAGTTTTAATTTCCTCATGTTTACCATATCGGAGTAATTGAAATTTCTCATTGTTGAACTTCATATTGTTTTCTGCAGCCTATCGAAAGATTTGGTTGATATCCGCCTGGAGCCTTGCAGTGTCTGCAATGGAAGACACTGTCATGTAGATTCAGGTGTCATCTGCAAAGGAAGACACGGTGCTGTGGCTGACATCCTTGTCTATGTCAGATATGAGGATGAGAAACAAGATGGGAGCAAGTACTGTGCCTTGTGGAACAGAGCTTTTCACCGTAGCCGCCTCAGACTTTACTCTGTTGACTACTACTCTTCGTGTTCTGTTTGTGAGGAAATTATAGATCCATCTGCCAACTTTTCCTGTTATTCCTTTAGCACGCATTACTGTGCATTATTACGCCATGGTCACACTTGTTGAAGGCTTTTACAAAGTCTGTATATATTACATCTGCATTCTTTTTGTCTTCTAGTGCATCTAGGACCTTGTCGTAGTGATCCAGTAGTTGAGACAGACAGGAGCGACCTGCTCTAAACCCATGTTGCCCTGGGTTGCGTAACTGATGGGTATCTAGATGCATGGCGATCTTGCTTCTTAGGACCCTTTCAAAGATTTTTATGATATGAGATGTCAGTGCTATCGGTCTGTAGTTCTTTGCTATTACTTTACTGCCCCCTTTGTGGAGTGGGGCTATGTCTGTTGTTTTTAGTAACTGTGGGACGACCCCCGTGTCCATGCTCTCTCTCCATAGGATGGTAAAAGCTCGTGATAGGGGCTTCTTGCAGTTTTGATGAACACAGAGTTCCACGAGTCTGGCCCTGGGGTAGAGTGCATGGGCATGTTATTTATCGCCTGTTCGAAGTCATTTGGCGTCAGGATAACATCAGATAGGCTTGTGTTAACCAAGTTCTGTGGCTCTCTCATAAAAAATTCATTTTGATCTTCGACTCTCAGTCTGGTTAGCGGCTTGTTAAAAAATGAGTCATATTGGGACTTGAGTAGCTCACTCATTTCCTTGCTGTCATCTGTGTAGGACCCATCTTGTTTAAGTAGGGGCCCAATACTGGATGTTGTTCTCGACTTTGATTTGGCATAAGAAAAGAAATACTTTGGGTTTCTTTCGATTTCATTTATAGCTTTTAGTTCCTCCTGTGATGGAGATTCCTTTAGCTTAAGTTCGATGTTTGCTATTTCTCTGACCAGTGACTCCCTACGCATTTCAGATATATTGGCCTCTTTTAGCCACGCTGTTATTCTTTTCCGTCGCCTGTAAAGGGAGCACCTGTCTCTTTCTATTTTACATCTACTCCTCCTTTTTCTTAAAGGAATAAGCCTTGAGCATACATCGAGTGCCACCGAGTTAATCTGTTCTAGCCATAAGCTGGGGTCTGTGTTGCTTAGTCTATCTTCCCAGCTTATATCATTTAGGACTTGGTTTACTTGGTCCCACTTTATGTTCTTGTTATTGAAGTTGAATTTGGTGAAGGCTCCCTCGTGACTAATCTTATTTTGTCAGTCTGTTGCTCCACGCATACATGTCTGAACCTTGATTATGTTATGATCTGAGTACATATTGTTTTTGATATGGTGACATTTCGTATCAGATCATCATTGTTAGTGAAGATGAGGTCTAGTGTATTCTCCACTCTAGTAGGCTCTATTATTTGCTGCTTTAAGTTGAATTTTGTGCAGATTTAAAAGCTCATGTGTGTGTGAGTTCTCGTCAGAGCTGCCTCCTGGTGTTATCACTGCAACAACATATTTGCTATATTCCTCCATTTTCGGTGCCTCAAGTTGAAATCCCCCAGGAGCAAGATGTTGGGGGCAGGAGCTGGCAGATTTTCCAGGCAGTGGTCAATTTTTAACAGCTGTTCCTGGAATTGCTGGGATGCTGCATCTGGAGGCTTGTAGACTACCACAATGACTAGGTTTTGGTTCTCGATCTTTACTGCTAAAATTTCCACTACATCATTTGAGGCATTAAGCAGTTCTGTGCAAATAAGTGACTCTGCGATATACAGGCCAACCCCCTTCCCCCTTTTGCCTGTTCACTCTGTCGCATCTGTATAGGTTGTAACCTCGGATCCATATTTCATTGTCCAAGTGATCCTTTATGTGGGTCTCTGTGAAAGCCGCGAACATTACATTTGCCTCTGCAAGCAGTCCACGGATGAAAGGTATTTTGTTGTTCGTTGCTGACTTTAGACCCTGTATATTTGCAAAGAAGAATGTCATTGGACTGGTGGTACTGGGGGGGGGACTTTTTTTTTCCGGCACTAGTATCTGTATCTGTTGGTTTGAGTGGAGGCCATCGACTGTGGTTCCACTCCAGAAATGACTGGATTTGGCATACGATTTCTGCCATTTCCTGCCAGTTTTTTTCCTTCCTGGTACTAAAAAAACCTCTCCTTGAATGGCTGTGGCTACCCAGGTTTTCCCATGGCCTGGATGTTTTGTATCTTTTTGTCTCCTTTAGATGGTGTGCCTGGCAATTTAAGTTATAGTAGTCTTTCCTGTACTGAAGAGGGGACACATTTCAGGGTGAAAAAGCTTACAGGAAGGGAGTTTTGCATTTTCCTGTTGTCATATGGGCACGGCATTTTCTAGGGTGGTCAAAGTTGCACGTCCCATCTGTTTTTCCAGATTTTCCATGCCTGCAGATACCAAGTGCATAGTATGTGCACAGGCTTGGTTTCCGTTTGCCTTGGGTTTCTGCGACTGTATTCCCTGTTGGTGCATGTTTACCTGTCTCATTCCTATCCTCACTAGTACTAACAATGGAGCTCTCACCAGTTGTTTCTGGTAATATATCCTCACTATTGCTAGTGGAGTCCCCTTGTTTGCTATCTCCTGTGGTATTACTAGTTTGTAATACTGGTTTTATCTTGCCCTTGAGTACACTTGTTTCCCCACTACAGCTCCTGTCTCCCTCAAGGTCATTTATATGCATTCCCTCATGCGTACATTTACTGACTACCTGGACACCTCCATCCTCACCATTACTGTCTCCCAGGACAGCACCTCCAGCTTCACCATTACTGTCTACCAGGACAGCACTTCCAGCCCCACATTTACTGTCTACCAGGGCAGCACCTCCAGCCTTACAGTTTCTGACTACATGGCCAGCACCAAGGGCAATACCATCTAGCCCAGACTTTTTATTTTCCCATCTGTTATAGAATGCTTGCAGGTTTTCTATGAAGGCTGCTCTGATGTTATCCTCTTTAAATACCAATGTGATTTTAGTCCACAGATTGATCTCATTTGGGCATACCCAAAAACACTTCCCTAATTTAATACCAATTGTAGATAGTTCTTGGATATCTGCACAAGGGGCGTGACACCAATTTTTACAAAAATGGCAAGTAATCTATGTGGAAGCCTGTTTGTTTGATTTACTGCAGACTACACAGAGCTTCATAATGTGATTTGAATGGTTGATTTACTGTAATTCTACTAGTAACTCCTTGAATATTCTACTAATAACCTCCTTAAAGTGAAGATCTGGTTATTTCTATTTCTATTTCTAACTGTACTTGTATATTAGGACAGCCTACCGGTGTACGTTTCTGTTTTACATTTATTGTTTGTGTTTGATAAGGGTGCCTAAAACCCCGTCTGTTTACAGTCTGCTTTATTGTCCAATCGTTTTAAATAAAAAAAAAATTTAAAAAT